AGAACCAAGAGACTCATGTAATGGTACAAGATCCCAATGATGAATGTAACTGTATTTTATACCTAAAATGTACCAATAAAGTTAATGGGGGAAAAAAAAAGAACAGAACTCTGAAATTCTCCCCAAAGCTTTGCAAGACTACGATGCTAGAAACAGAACCTGTGATGCTTAGTGGAAGAAAGAACTAAAAGCAAATTTTACGTATATAAAGATTTTTTATAACAGATGACTTAAGTCTAGTGAGAACAAAACAAATATAAATGTATTCAAATGCATTTGTTTTACTTCAAGGCTGTTAATGGTTATGATTTCTTGAATTGAAAAGAATTTTTTACCCTCAAGTGACATATACATATAACTAGGAACACTGTGAATGATTGCAAGAACTGAGTCTTACCCTAAACTATGTACTTTTCACAGGGATCAAATATAGTTGTAGAAATGTTACTGAATACCCATGTCTGTTTGGTTGCTGCTCTCCAAACCAACTCTAGAGAGCCTGGTGAAAAGGAAAAGGATTTATTCAAAGCTAGCTCTGAGGAGATGGCCTCTTATCACCACGAACCACCAATTTACCATGTCCAGGTGGGTAAGAGCCTATTTGTTTGTTTGTTTGTTTGTTTGTTTTGAGGATCTTGCTATGTAGCTCAGACTGGCTTTTAACTCACTAGGTAATCCAGGTTGGTTTTGAACTCCTGACAATCCTCCTGCCTCAGCTGCCTGAGTGCTGGGATTATAGGTGTGCCACCATCACCAGCAGGCATTTTATAGAAAGGAAGAGAGGGGAGCAAGAATACAATGAGACAACAGACAACTCGAAGCTTGCTTTATACCTCCCTCTCTTTCCAGTGCAAAGAAAACTGGACTTTGTCCTCCTGGACCAGCATCTTTATATTTTGTTCATTCATCTTGGCTGAGGAGAAGTAACAGTGGTCATTTATGCCCTAGGCCTGAGGAAGTTTGAAGTAGTAGCTTGTCTCTAAAGAAAAAAATTCTAACTTTCAAATTTCCATTTTGCTGTACTGGTCACGGGAACTGAGTTAGCAAAGAGAGAAGCTGTGGGAGCTACAACCACCAGAAGTGCGACAGGGGCAGAGCCACCCAGGCCCTTTGGAGTGCACATCTTGCCACAGATTTCTGGCAATGCTGGACCCAGGACTACAGGACTTAATGTTTTCCCTGGTGGATTTGGATCTTGCTTTGTTCCCATTCCTTCCTATCCCCTCCTTTGTACCTTTTGGAATGGAAATGTCTAAATTGTGCCATTGTCTACTGGAAGTGTTAAACTTTCTTTTCATTTTTACAGGGGCTTGCAGCTAACACTGTGCCTTAAATCTCAGAGGAGACTTTGGACTTAGACTTTTCAGCAACACTGAAACTGTTAGGAATTTGGCAACTCTTGGAGATGGACTAGATGCCTTTTGCATAAAGGAATGTGCATGAGGCTTTGGGGGTCCAGGGGCAGAATATTATGGCTTGTGTATAGATGTCACTCCAAAGCCTCATGCAGTCATAGGTGGGGCTTTCACTGATTAGTTTGGCATCTGCACTAAGCCGGTCATCCTAGAAAAAGTACAAAAAGGAAAGAAAGAAGCTGCTGTCGTCTCTTGTAGCTTCCTGCCATGCTGACTTCTGCCTTCTGCCTGCCATGAATTGTTTCTCCTCTGTGATGTCCCTCTGCCATGCCACCCTGCCCTGGAGCCCGCTAACTATGAACTCTACAAACTGTGAGGTAGATAAAACTTTCCTCCTTTAACTTTGGGTGTCAGGTATTTTGTCTCACCAATGAGAAAAGTAACTAAGATAAGTGGAGTTGATGGATCCAGGCAGAAAGATTTATTGTATGACAAGTACAGCAGTTTGTCATGGGTCTGAAATAGAGACTTCAGCCACCTCCCCCATAGGGAGGGCAGCAGCTTTTAAGCCTGGGATAGGGGATGAAGCTTGTGCCTGGGAGTGTAATGAGGGGTGAAATGAGGAAGTTAGTTGGCTTTCAACCTGGAATCCAAGTTATGCTACCAAGGGGAAGGGGAAGTAGGAGGAGTAGGGGAAAGAAAAGGAGGGAATGGAATTAGTATTAGAAAATGGAAACAAAGTAAATAGGGAGGGGTGGAGGGGTTGAAGGAAGGGCAGGGGAATGGGGAAAAAATAAGAACCAAGACAGATTATGTAAAGGTGCAAATTTCCAAAGGTGAATGTCATTATATTCTATACCTAAAATGTGCCAATAAAATTAATTTAAAAAAAAAAGAAGTTAGGCTGCTAGGGGGCTTTAAAGTAAACATCTCAGACATTTGTTATAGAGATATATGAGGGAAAGGGGGGAAAGAGAGCAAAATAAAGAATTTTGGAGGGGGGGTGGTGGTGACTGGGAAGATTGGAAATAGGTCACTGAATTCTTTTGGCTACTTTCTGCTCTGTTGGGGCATTGTTTATAGTTATGGAGGTTTTATTCCCCCTATGAGGGATTTGTTGGTATCTGATTGATTGATGATTGATTGATTTTTAGCAGAAGGATGTTGTCCACCTGGCTTTGGGTAAGGTTTTGGATTGTTGTTCAATGAAGCGCATCATAGTGTGGAACAGGAATGGTCCCATTGGTCCTGGATCTTGAATCCTGTTATGTATTTTGGCTTCATTGAGGCTTCCTTGTTGGTCCTGTGATAAGCTTTAAAAGAAAGTAAGAGAAGTGGTCAGTTTTTCCACCCAGTGAGCACTTCTGTGGGTATCTCTAATGTTGTTAGAAGGAATATTAAAGTGACTGCCTTTTTTTGGCAGATGTGGTCAGTGATGGGGATGGGAAGGGATTGGTTTTTGGGGACCACGTTGATATTGGGGAACAAATAGGCTAAAGTATATGTTCCTGTCTAATTAATAGGCAGGCACAAGTAGGATTGATAGCCACAAAGAAAAAAGATTCCTGATTAGAAAAGGCAAGTAATGAGATATAGTAAGAAGGTTTGTTACACAGGATAAGTCCCTGGAATGGAAGGGTTTGGCTCATTTTTCAAGGTCAAGATGGAACCAGTCAAGGAGGCCCCCATAATAGATTGATTTTATAATGATTGGAAGGTGAGATGTTAATGAGGTCTCCTGAGAACTTACGAATAATTAGGCCTGCAGAGGAGATTGAGATGTGGGTAGTCTAGAGAAAAGGAGGGGTGGAATAAAATTTTCATTTGTCTAGGTGAGATGCCATAATTGACCTAATAAAACTGAGAGTCATGGGGCCTCTTGATAGTGATGGTTTTGTTACACTGAGAAGTGTTTTCCATGAGGGGCTGATAGGTGTTGGCTCACAGTAAATGTAAAGGGAAGGGGCTTGATTAAAAAGGGAAGTGTTAAAGTTTATGGGACCAATTGTTGGGTGGGTAGTTGTAGGGGATTTAGAGAAGTTAGTGAAATATATCTGAAAGAGTTTGGTGGCTCTGTCTGCTAAGGCTGTTGAGTATGATTTAAGGAGTTTGTGGATATGGTCTTTAACCACTTATCAGTCCAAACACTTAAATACAGGAAGACCAAGAATTGCATGTCTTTCATTAATTTTTATAAAATAATATAACAGGAAATATAAAAATGACAATTTTTATCAAATTTATTCAATACAAGAATCGACTGTTTGAAATGACCTGCCCAAGTGACACTAGGGAAAGTCAGTATGTATGTAAGCAAACATGCTGCCCAAGTGATGCTTGGGGTAAATTGTTAAGTGGTTAAAGGTTGAGTTTCAGTCTTTTTGCAGAGTAAGTTGTGTCTAGGTGTTTATCCAGGCTGATTTGGGACTGGAGATTGCCATGTAAGCTAAAGATTGGCTGGCACAGCCAGCAATCTTGGTTCAGAGAACAATTTGTCCTATTTAAAGATTGAAAGTGAGTGTGAGGAAGAGGGACCTATAGTAAGGCCAAGAAGTTGCCTGGAGAAAAATCTATGAAATCTCCAGTTGACTATCTTTGAGGAGTAGCAGAATAAGGTCATAGACTAGTAAGGGGCTGCGTTGGCTCATCATATATGAGTTTGATCATGTTGGTCAGTTATTTCTTGAGATGGCTGTGAGGCAAGAAAATATAGGAGTCAAGAATTGAGACTTCTATCTGTGTGGAATGGGTGGGGCTGGGCTCTCCCTTTCTTTCTTTCTTTCTTTCTTTCTTTCTTTCTTTCTTTCTTTCTTTCTTTCTTTCTTTCTTTCTTTCTTCTGAGATGAGTTCTGGTCAGGAGGAATAGATTTAAAAGGGAAGACCTGAAAGTTTTGTGGCTGTTGGTGTGGTAAGGATAACTATATAGGGTCCCTGTCATTTTGGCTGTAAGCGTTTGGGGTTGGGAATTTTGAAGTAGATCCTATCTCCAAACAGGACTGATAAAGAGGTGACCTGTGTTGTCATCATGTTTGGGAAGTGATGTTTTAGCAAAGTTTTTCAAAGCCTGGCAAAGAAGGAAGAGGAGGCAGAGACATTCTCCAAAAGAGAATGTATTGGTTGAAGTGTTGCCAAGAACAAAGAGATGCCCATACATTTTAATGGGCTGAGATAGGGAGAGCAGGGGTTGGCAATGGGTAGGAGAGTAGGAGGGCAATGGGCAGGAGATTTACCACTATGTCTTTTGGGTTTGTAGCATGAATTTGGTGAGTTAATACAGGCTGTAAGGAATGATGGATTTAGATTATAAGATGTTGGAATAGAATAAGCTTGAAGGTTTTATAATTAGAGTGCCACTGCCACTAAAATATGGTGACAGCTTGGCCACCCCAGGACCATCTTGTTTAACTGTTCTGAGAAATAGATTAGAGGTTATATTTTTGTGCAAAGAAGTTGAGCTAGGAGACCAAAAGTGAATCCCTTTTTGGTATTTATATATAGGTGGAAAGGTTTATTGTGGCTGGGGAGATTGAGTGCTGATGCAGAAGTGAGGACTGATTTATGTTGGTTGAGAGCAGAAGACAGAGTGGAGGAGGAGAATACAGGGTGTCTGTAGTCTGCCAGGGCAGCCTCATATAGGGGTTTAGCTATGAGAACAAAGTTTAGGATCTACAGCCAAGAGTAATTAGTGAGCCCCCAACATGAAAGGAAATCAGATTTGGTTGGGGTAAGGAGATCTGAGAAGTGAGGGTTTTGCAGTCTTGTGTGATTCCCTTATGTGTAGGGGGGGATTTGAAGTCTAAGTAGGTAATCTTGATCTGAAAGAACTGGCCCTTGTCTGCAGATACCTGGTATCGCTCTGTTGTTAGGAAGTTAAGTAACTGAACAGTATCTATTATGTACAGACTTAGAGAAGGGCTGCACAATAAAAGGTCATCAACGCATTGGATAAGGCAGCTAGGGTTTAGGGGAAGATACAGGAGGTCTTTGGCTAGTGTTTGTCTGAAAATGTATGGGCTGTTGTAGAATCTCTGAGGGAGGACAGTTTAAGTAAGTGAGGGGTTTTTAGTGTTGGGATCTGTTCAGGTAAAGATAAAAGGATTTGGTGAACTAGGGTCAAGAGTAGTAGTTTTTGAAAAGTATCTTTGAGGTCAAGAACTGTAAAAGGAGAAATATCTGGCAGTATTGAGGAAAGAATAATGTGTGGATTATATACTAGAGGGTATAGATGGGTAGGAAGTCTTCATTGATAATGTGGAGGTCCTGGACTAGATGATAGGTTCTATTTGGGGGTTTTATTGCTTGGATAGGAATATTTTAATGAGAACTGGTGGGTTTTAAGATGAGTTGGGGATAGTGGGTTGGAGTCCCCATGTAGCCTGTGAGTTAAGGGGTGTTGTGTCTTGTTAGGGAAGGAGGTGGGGCGTTTGAGGGTAACCTTGATAGGTGTGTGATGAGAAGCAACTCAGGGGTGTTGAGTGACCCACATGATGAGGTTGACTTGGAGTAGAATGTGAGGTGAACTTTGTGTAATCTGGATTGAGGAGGGGTGTAGGTTAAGGAGAAGATTGGAAAGCTCTGGATAATAATGGCAGAATGTAATCTTGAAAGTATATCTGGTCCCATTAATGGGGTGGGACAGGTTGGAGTGCTAGAAAGGAATGTGTGAAAATGGTTATTTTTAAGTTCAAGGCAAAGGCTTGATATAAAGTAGTTTGAAGATAATGCTATCAACTACCACATACAGAAATAGTTCTGCATATTTCTGTAAAATCCAATATGTTGTTCCCACATTCAAAAGAAAAAGATATTGGCTTACCTGCTAACTTTAAACAAGCCCTAGGTTCTGTTTTGGTGATGGAGATCATAGGAGAGAATTGGGGCCTAGCCTGTTGTCAGCTGCAAGTGCTAGCAGACTGGGAAAGGACAGGTTAGAGTTGGCCATGGATTTGGCAAGGTTGGCCCCATGCCCAGAGGCCTGGGACAATCTGTTTGGGGGAAGAAAGGATGGTTTTTGTATTCATTTTTATCATGTGCTGTTTTTAGTCCTCATTAGTGTGGTGTTTCATGGTTTGTCCAGTAGGTGCTGGGCAGAAATGTGTTATCAGAGAAGTTTGGGTGCTGAGAATT